TATATATATATATATATATATATATATATATATATATATATATGTGTGTGTGTGTGTGTGTGTGTGTGTGTGTGTGTGTTTTATGGAAGACGTCAGACTAGGTACTGCGATTAATTAATTTATTTTATTTTTATTTTATTTTTCTAGTGTTCGAAAAAATGTTTTCTCTTCTGGACACATATTGTGTAGAAACTGTCCAAATGTTCAGTAATCCCGCGCGCTTTCGACTATACTTTTAGACATTATCAAGGGTGATTTTATTTTTGCTTTATAATTAGGTGTATGAGTTGTGCGTATGTTTCTAGATTTATAGGGATGTTTTAGTTTCCAAACACAGCATATTGTGGCCGTGTTCGCTGTTAATATTATTCTGTGTATGCTTTTTCTTTCTTTTTTTTTATTACTAAGGCTTCAATTATTTTAAATCTTTTTTTTTTTTACATGTGGATGAGGTTATTATGTTTGTATTTTCTACTCGTATGTTTCGGATGGAGTCTGGTACGTTTGTATGCGTGTTTAAATGGATTCTAATTGAGCTGTGGTCGCATAGGTGTAAAGTAAGGCGTTTGAATAGGCATGTAGCAATGGGACCGATGTAATTATTTATGAATTCAGTTTGATCAGGAACACAGTTCCTTAAGGGGTATTTGAACTCATAAATAATGTTCGTTCGTTGTAACTTTGATTTTACTGGTGTGTTGTTATTTTTGAGGATAGGGTTAGCTGTTTTAAATTTCTTGTAGTAGATAATTAATTTGATTTTTTTGTTCGGGTCAATTGAGGTAGTGTATTTCTTTATGATATTTCTAATTGAAGATTAATCTTGTTTGTAGTTGATGTGCATTTGGTTTTTGCAGAAAACATTTGTTATTTTTTACTGTGTGTCCACTATCATTGTTATTCACATACTGTGAAAGATAACATAAATATAATCATTCTTGCACCAATGATAAGCGCATATAAAAATGAAAAGTCAGAAACTATAAGCAGTCAATTGTTGATACCGTCTGATAAGGGAACGGACGGGTCTGTCTACGAAACTCTGGAGTGGGAGTTAATCAGTTAATAATTAATACTCTCTCTCTCTCTCACACACACACACATACATTTATATATATATATATATATATATATATATATATATATATATATATATATGTGTGTGTGTGTGTATGTGTAATGAATGTGCATAAATATACATACATGTATGTGTGTTTCTGATTAAGGGGAAAGAAAGTGTGTGATTGTGTGTCTGCAAGAAAGAGTTTGTTATATTTTAATTCGTCTTTAAGTGGGTCCGCATTTACTTGCGTATAACTATTTATGCTTCTAAGTTTGGTTCAACACAAGACTAAGTGGAAGGGTAAGAAATCTGGATTAGGGCATTTTCTTTTGCAATCTAAGATGTCTACTTGGAATATCAGCCTTCGAAATGCAAGTTCTTACCTGAATGTTACCAATTTTCTCGTGGAAAGAATACGCAACCCCCAAATCACAACAGCAAGTTTGTTTTCAAATAAGTATGCTGATAAGAAGATAGGAGAGAAAAAAATAAGAGTGATGAAAATAGGTGAAAACAGAGAAAGAAATGGAAATAGAAAGAGAAGGAAATAGTGACGGAGAGAAGGGGATGTAGGAGATATAAAGAGAGAGGGGGAGAGAGAGAAGCAAATAAGTGAGAGAAAGAGAGTGAAGAAAATAGGTGATATAGAAAGAAAAAATATGGGATAGAGAAAAAAGGAAATAGGTGATAGAGAGAGAAAGGTATAGGAGATAGAAAGAAGGAGAGAAAAAGAGAAAGAATAAAATGGGTGATAGAAAGATAGTGAAGAAAATATGTGATATAAAAAGAAATAGGGGATAGAGAGAGAGAGAGAAGGAAATATATGATATAGAGAGAAGGAAATAGGGATGGAGAAAGATATAGGAGATAGAAAGAAAGGGAGAGAAAGGAAAATGGGTGATAGGAAAAGAGTGAAGACAATAGGTGATGTAGAGAGAAGGAAATATGTGATATAGAGAGAAACAAATTGAGGCTAGAAAGAGAATGAAATAGATGATAGAATAAGATATAAGAGATAGAAAGAGAGAGAGAGAGAGAGACGAAAATAGTTAATAGAAAGAGAGGGAAGAAAAAGGTGATATAGAGAGGAAACAAAGTATAGGGAGTGATGGAAAGGGTGACGGAGAAAGAAAAAGTGATAGAAATAGAGTGAAGGAAACAGGTGATATCGACAGAAGGAGATAGGGGATAGAAAGAGAAGGAAATAAGCGATAGAGAGAATATATATATATATATATATATATATATATATATATATATAGAGAGAGAGAGAGAGAGAGAGAGAGGGGGGTAAGGGAGCGAAGAAAATGGGTGATAGAAAAAGAGTGAAGAAAATAGATGGTGTAGAGAAAAGGAAATAAGGGATAAAGAGAGGGAGAGAGAGAATGAAATATGTCATATAGAGAGAAGGAAATAGGGAATTGAGAGAGAAAGATATAAGAGACAGAAAGAGAGCGAGAGAAAAGAAATTCCTTTATTTCAAGGTCACATGGCACAGTGTATAAAAGCGTTAGTTAGATCCAGTGACAGGACCCAAAGAGTGCGAGTTCAATACCCGGTTAAGGCAGTGGAGAACTTTCAGAGGGAAATTAACAGGAGATAACTGATAACTGACATCCATCAAACATGGCACGTGGAACTAGAACAGTCTACCCCAGTGAGCGAAATGTTCAGTTCGACATTCCAACGACCCGAAGAAGGCCAGAGCTTACAATGGCTGAAACGTTGTAATAAATATGGCGACAAAGATGAGGACAATAGTCCGAATAATGTAAAGAAAGTGGGTGATAGAAAGAAAATGAAGAGAAAAGGTGATGCAGAGAGAAGGAAATAGAGAATAGAGAGAGAAGGAAATTGGTAATAGATGGAGAAAGATTTAGGCGATAGAAAGAGAGAGAGAGAGGGGAGAAAGAGAAAGAAAGAAGAAAAATGGTGATAGAAAGAGTATGTAGAGTATCGTATTATGTTTACGAGATAAATTGAAAGAAAGGGAGAAGACACAGTGTTTACGAAAAAGTTAGGGTAGAGTAATTAGTTTGGTTTGGTTTATGGCATATCACCCTCAATGGGTTTATTTAATGCCGACAAGATTTTTATTGCTGGTAGTATTTTTTTTCCAAAAATGTATTGCTGGCAATAATTTTTTTTTTTTACCAAAACGTACTGCTGGTAATCTTTTTCTTTTTCAAACATATACACCTTTGACACCTTGGGAAGAGGGTTAACTATTTGCCCATAGTTGGGACCCTAACAGGTGCTACCACCCCGGGTCAGGGTGGACCTGAGAACAGCAGCAATTAAGAGGTAGTTTCATGCTCCTCAAAATCCCCTGATCAAAGGCTTTGCTGCATGATGTAGTTTATCGTCTTACCCAGGATGAGGTAGAGTAATAGATGAAGAAATAGTAAACGTTTAAAAGAAAAGAGAGAGAGAGAGTGTGTGAATGAGCGCGTGAGAGTTATAAGAGTGACGATAAGGAAGAGAACAAGAGAAAGTATATTTTGTTTCACTGTAAACTAAGATTAGTAAATGATAACCCATTTCACTAGGTTGTGGGAGACCATTTTTCTCGTCAGAATCTATCTTACATATTCATAAGTCTACCATTCCTCCATACATTGAATATTTCTGCCCCATCTGGTCTGGTAATTCTGCTATATATTTCGATAAATTCCAAAGAGGAATCTGCAATATTATTGAACTTTACCCTGCAGCTCGGCTTCAGTCACATTCCCACCGCCATAATGTAGCTTCCCTGTGACTTTTCTATAAATATTTTCATGGTAATTGTTCTGATGAACTCTCTCCATCCCTACAGATAAACTCTACATATAGGAACTAGTTCGGATATCACAGAGACTTGAGGTATTATGGAGACACTAGTAAGAATGATAAGTAAGTGTTGTTTGGGGGTAAGGAATACTGTGATATGTTTGGGTCAGCAACTAAGCTAATCTAAAGATAAACCAAATTGAAGACTAGCCTTTCCCTATCCCCTCTTTTGGCCTTGTGCCATATTTTTGTATTTTCAAATTAGTATCACTTTCCTCATGTCTCAAGACTTTATGAATTTAATTGCAGTACCAGATTAGCGTCAAGATTTCATCATTTAATAGTAGAAATTGCTAAATGTAACCGTAAGTTCTATATTAACAGTTTCTGCTCTCGCACTTCTTGCTTGTGGAACTCTCTTCCAGCTTTTTGTTCCCAGTCAACTTTGATCTACCAAAATTTGAATGAAATGTCAATCATTATCTTCTCTCTTCTTATTCCTGTTCTTTTATGCTTCTCTTTTCTTAACAACGGTTTTTTCTCATATTCTTTCACACTCAGTAAACCCTTGAGTCTTAGTGGCTTTATTGCTTTGCTTGGGGCGAAATGGTTAAAACAAAAAATATTCGTAAAACTTGTGCTTTTTCAATTATATTTTTTCGGGTCTATTGGATAACATTTAAGCTAGAATTTATGGGACACATCGGATCTAGGCTGATTGACGACCTGTGAGTTTGACCCTAAGTGGGCATCCTATACAAAATGCTTCATTATATAACTACACATTTTTGCCAATCTACATTCACCTAAATTTATGTCTGAAAAATACTAAAGAAATAAAAACTAAAATTGCTACATAGATTTATTTTTGTTCTTATTTTTCGCATGTTTGAAATTCAAATTGAAAAAATCTATTCAAATTTGTCCCTTGCCCAGAATAAGTATCGAAATTGTAATGTGTTTTCACAATATGTGGTCGATGTTCAAATCCAATGAAAGAACTGCATTCGATTAAACATTTCTGCAGAATTCCTAACAATTTTTTCATCATGGATTTATGAATATTTAATTCTAAATTACACTTTTCTAAATAAGATTTCCGTTTCTGAAACGCAAAATAATAATCGAATTAAATAGTAACCTCGCAGCAACTTAAGTTGTTTTATTAGTAAGAGGCAACAAAGAAAGAAAGAAAGAAACAAGGAAAAAGTAAGAGAGAAAAAGAAAGAAAAAAGAATAGAAGACAAAGAAAAGAAGTGAAAGGAAAGAGAAAGAGAAAAAAGAAAGAGAGAAAAGAGGAAGAAAGAAGAAAAATGAAAGATAAGATAGAAAATAATAGAAAAGTGAATGAAAGAAAAGAAGAAAATAAGCAAGAGAAAAAGAAAGGTAAAGAAAAGAGAAATAAAAGAAAAAGAAGTGAAAGAAAGAAAGAAATAAAAGAGAAGGAAAGAAAGAAGAAAAATGAAAAAGGAGGAATGAAAGAAAAGAAAGGTAAAGAAAAGAGAAAAAAAACAAAGAAAAGAAAAGTGAAAGAAAGAAAGAAGAACAGAAAGAAAGAAAATAGAAAGGGAGAAAATGAAAAAGGAGGAAAGAAACAAAGCAAGAAAAGACGAAGAAAGAAAATAATAGAAAAGTGAAAGAGAGACAAAGAAGGAAAGGAATATATAAATGAACACAAAAGAAAGAAATGTAAAGAAAAGAGAAAGAAAAGAAAAAGAAGTGAAAGAAAGAAAAGAGAAAGAAGAAAAATGGAAAAGGAGGGATGAAAGAAAGAAAAAAGAAAAAGAAATAAAAAGAAGAAAATAAAAAAGTAATAAATAAAAAGAAAAAATAAAGAAAGAAATGATAGGGAGAGATAAACTTTGAAAGGTATGTTGGAATTTTTTAAATAAGGAATTAACATTAATATATTTTGCTATTCACACTTGGTTGTTACGCTCACAACGGTTCAGTGTTACTATTCTTCAGCCTTCTTTAAATGTCTGCCTTGTAAACATAGAATGTAAAATGAGATCAATCAACTCTCGTGTTTTAAATGAAGGGTTCGATTCGAAATTCCAAGATGGGCGGAGGGTACAACTGTCGAAGTTCTTTGAAATAACAATCAAAATGAGTATGCTGTAGCATAACAATTATTTCAACTTGGAACATACTTTAGTAAATAATGTCTCTTCGACGTGGTGTAATACTTAGAAAGCTTGTCACGCTTGTCATTTACAGCTAATTAATGAGTTCTATCCTCAATTGGTACTCCACGCTTTTGGCAACATTTAAGCTATAGTTATGAATTCATTTTATACTTACCTGTTTTTTGCTGAGAAAGTTTCAAAATAATATTAAAAGCTCCAGGGGACTATCCCCCCCCCCGACCAGGCAGTAGTTCTTGAGGAGCTGAGGTCATTAACAGGCGTCTGAAAAATTACCAAATGAAGTGCCGAGGAGGAGTGAGCAATTTTTCCACGGTAAACCCACTTTAAACTGACCTTATGATTCGGTTGTGAGGTGGGCGCACTGATAAATACATATACTTCCGTCAATAAAGCCCCAGTGTATAAAACAAAGACAAAATTTTGCTGAATATTAACTACCCAAGGACGGTAAGTGCGACGCTGAGATCCGAAGACGTATTGGGATGGCCAAAGACGCATTCCAAAAACTAGGCAGAGTATTACGAGACAGGAGGATTTCTTTGGTAACAAAGAAAAGAGTACTGAGCTGCTACGTGATATCTTTCCTCTTTTACGGCAGCGAATGTTGGACGATCTCCTCAAAGATGAAGAAGAGACTCGAAGCAACAGAGGTACGGTTCTACAGAAGGATGCTGAGAATATCGTGGACCGATCGTGTATGCAACGACGAGGTTTTGGAGAGGATGCAAACAACGAAGGAAGCTTATACTTAACATCAGGAAGAGGCAGTTGAAATTTTTTGGACGCACAATGAGAAAAGAGAGCTTGGAGAATCTGATACTCACAAGTGGAATAGAGGGAAAGAGAGACAAGAGAAAGCACTCATAATATACCAGGCGGGCTTAAGCAAGTGAATGACAGAACATCGCTTGGGGAAGTAGTAAAGGGACAAAACTTATTGAGAGCTATAAAGCATAGGGGGGGGGGGAGTGGAGAGCCATGATCGCCTACATCCTGAAGGGACACGGTACATAAAAAGAAACAGGTTAAGAAATTTAGTTGGGAGATTGATTTTAATTTTTATTTTTTTGTTTATTTGGTCATTTCCCTTTTGTCTATGAATAAGTTAGGAAATATAGCAGAAAAAAAAATCAAACATCTCTGTGCTGAGTAAATATTAACGAACTATAATACCGGAAGGCTAAAGATTATCCGATAAATTATCGGACACCCTTTTTAATCTGGACAAAGGTACCAGTAGACATTAATTTCAGGCGATTGCCAGACTAATTCGGTCACGTTACCGATTCCCAAAAATCGAAATGTAGGTGCATTATGTAACATTCAGCTGTGAGTAGAAGGGTTAATGTCGTCTCAGCCCTGATTGGGTCAAGAGGGGGAAGAGGGTCTGATACTGGAAGATCCGAAATTCCGGATGGTCTTGGTTATAAAACGTCATTAACGCATGACATATTTTGCGAATATTTAACAATAGTTAGATATAAACTGTGACTCAATGGCGATTTTCTAAGCGTAGCTTAAATATGGCACAAGGCCGAAAGTATGCGATACCCAATAGGAATCGGATTCACTACTCAGACGTAATTGATCTAGCGAGACAAGTTTGCCAACCATTACACCACTTCGAATAGCTCAAATGATGTTCTAAGCGTAGCTTAGATATGGCACAAGGTCGCAAGTATGCGATATCCAGTGAGAATCGGACTCGATACTCAGTCGTAACTGTTCTAGCGAGACAAGTTTGCTAACCATTACACCACATCGAAATGCTCAGATGATTTTCTAAGCGTAGCTTAGATATGGCACAAGGCCGCGAGTATGTGATACCCAATAGGAATTGGATTCTACTCAGTCGTAATTGATCTAGCGAGACAAGTTTGCAAACCATTACACCACTTCGAAATGTCTAAATGATTTTCTAAGCGTAGCTTAGATATGACAGAAGGCCGAAATTGTGGTGCACCCAGTGAGGTTGCAGAAGCACGAGAGATGCGTAATCAGTGGGTCAGAAGTGTATTATTGAATTTCTATCACATAAAATCTGTTTTTCAAGCAACACGGATAATCCTGCAGCTTCTGTAATGTCAGTGATGTATATGTTGGCTCTTCATATAATGGTACAAGTTATTTTCATTAGGTCATCGTATAATTTTATTATAATCTTCATATCTTAATCTACTCTCTCTTCTGTCGGTGGTTGGAATACGCTGATTGTATACGTAATATCTGTCTTCCTATATGGCAGTGAATGCTGGAATATCTTCTCAAACATGAAGAGACTTGAAGCAACAGAAATGTCGTTCTACAGAAAGATGCTGATGATATCATTAACAGAATATGTGAGCAACGACGTGGTTTTAAAGAAAATAGAAACAAAAATGAAATATACTTAACACCAGGAAGAGACAATTGAAATTTCTGGCGTACGTAATGAGGAAGGAGGGCTTGGAAAATCTGATACTCACAAGACATTGAGGGAAAGAGGAACAAAGGAAAGCAGCGTGTAACATACTTGGTGAGTTTGATTAAATGTATGGTAGAACAGTTTGGGAGAAATAACAAAAAAGCAAAATTTATTAAGAGTTGCATGGGACAGGAAGTTGTGGAGTGCCATGATCGCCTACGCCCTGAAGGGACACGGGACATAAAAGAAGTATCTCCAGTAGAAGGTCAACAGACTCTCCAAAGAGGCCACCTAACAAATAAATGCTTAATGACTCAAATATAGATTACCAATATTTACCTATACACGTAACAAATAAATGTGCATAGTCTAGAATTTAAATGGTCACTCTTTACTTTTCCCGTATTAAGTAAATACCTGTAGTCTCAAGTAGAAACGAACAATATTTACCCATAGACTCGAATAAAATAACAAGAAACTGATTTCAGCATTAATTTAACTCAACAAGGATTGATATATAATAAAATCCATCAACCCATTTCCCCGCCATTTTGGATTAAAAGTTTTAAAAGGCGATAATGCTGTCCAGACACATAAGATGCGTATTATTGTATTGTTATTAAACCATTTCTGGTAACTCGGTAAACGGGTAATCTGGTATAATCCTGAGATCAAATATTCCGTAAAATAGGTGGCGTACCTTTAAAATAGTTAAACACACACGCACACACACAAATAGAATAATGAAAAAAAATAGCGGTAAGTCATTATCGATACGAAAAATTATTAAAATTAAAAAAATTACGTCAGAATAGATTGAATACAGTTCCCTTGTCTCTTTTGCCTTCGATAAGTCCAGTGAGTTTCAAATTCTCCAAGCTCTCTTTCCTCATTATGCGCCCCGGAAGTTTCATCTATCTCTTTCTTATTCTCTGTCCTTATTTACATTTTCCTTAATACTTCCTCGTTGCTCACATGATGTGTCCATGGTATTCTCGGTATCCTTCTGTAGAACGACATTTCTGTTGCTTTCATTTTTTTCTTCATCTGACAGGAAATTTACCAGCATTCACCGTCATATAGTCAGTTATGTGCCATGCGTGATACACGCTTAGGTGATCATGTATCTTTCGATACATGACTGACGAGGCAGATTTTTTCCCGCAGTAGGTTGCCATTTCTTTCTGCGGTAGACCACTTGCCATCCAAGGCTATAGAACCCGGTCTGTCCTGCTATTTGCTCATAGCTGAGCATTGTCATATAAGAGCATTGAAATTACATAACAGTTCAGCACTCTCCTTATTTCGAACGAAATTTTCCAGTTTCTTAGCACTTATCTTTTGTAAGGCATCTTTTGCCATTCCAAAGTGTCTTCGGATTTCGGTGTCACATATTCTATCGTATTAAAACACTTCTCATTTATTTAAACTTCTGTACTTGTTTGATGTTGATATCAGTTCATAGTTCGCATCTTGGCCTTCTTCTCTTGTTGACAACAATATATTCTGTCTTACATTTAGTGGTTAGTTCTTTCTTCTCGCTTTCCATTACAATCTTGTCTCGGAGGTTCTGTAGTTATTTTTCTGCGTCTAACATTTAAAGTGTCATCTGTGGATTCTAGAGGAAATATGGTTAAAATATGAGCAAAAGAAACTGCTGGAAACTGATGTTAACTTCATATGGAGATGTTACCTACCATAGAGCGACGGTTAAGAAACTAGATTGTAGATCACTCGTGCAGCGAAATCACTATGCTTAGAAAATATTATATTTGCATAAACAAAAATGCTACTATTTTTTGTCAGCCAAATTCTTTAATGGAATTTACATAGTATGACTCACTAATCCCATTTACAAAAACCATCAAACATAACAACCGCAATATAAACACTGCATCTTTGTAAGTCTGAAAGGAAATATTGTTTTTCACAACAGAAGGGGTGACATTTTCAGCTGAATAAACGGTTTAATGTAAATATGGCTAATTTATTTTCGTTATTTTTTTCTTTTTAATACCATAATCATTCAGGATGTGGGCGGTTATGAGTCTCCACAGATTCTCCTTCTGTTCTCATTCGGATGAATTTTGCTCTATGGGACTTAGAAATTATGAATGTAAGCACGTACTAGATTGGCGGCTAGGTCTCGTCATTTTACAGCTGAAATGGTTAAAAGTAACCGTAAGTTCTATGCTAACAGTTTCTTCTCTCGCACATCTCGCTTATGGATATCGCTCCCGGCTTCTTGCTTTCCAGGTAACTTTGATCTTCAAAAAATTTAAATGCAATGCCATTCGTTATCTTGTTTTCTTAATTCTTCCTCTCTTATTCCCCTCTTCTTCTTTATAC